TTAAATATATTTTATACTGATAAATGATTAATTTCTATCGTGAAATTGTTAATAGGAACAAAAGAAATATTTCAAAACTGCAGTAACAAAATCTAGTATAAAATTGTGAATAAAAATTGAACCATATCTAATGTTGTTAAGGCAACCTTGTAATTTAATCGATTTTAAATGACAAGAATTCTTTTCATTAAAGATATAAGAATCTCCTAATATATTAGCATCTCATTTTTGTAATCCTATAATTTTTCTCTAATGCAGTCAAGAAACATACAAACTTTTATTATCTGCGAAAAGTAGATACATTTTTTAACGTAATTACTGTAATATAATCGATTTTGTATCATAGGAAATATATGTATATTAAAACAAGAAAATATTTCGAAGATTATTACATCGGATTTTTGTAGACTAAAAAATTTTTCTATAATGTAGTAAATCTACAAACTTCTTTAAATTGCTGGATAATGTACAATAGTAATCTAACATTTTCCTTCCAATTAATCGAATTTAATCTTCAAAACCCGTTAGGTACAATCGACAGCTCTACTTTCGCATGATCGATGATCCCTTTCACCAATATTTATATGCAATGATATTTATTTCATATAAATGCATTTATAGTTTTTAAGAATCGTTCGGTAGATGTCACTAGAAGTCTATGTCGCTCGTCGGTCACGTATTTCTACTAAAATATTGATTTTACCTACTGCATTTTATTGATTGATTTATAAAATTTCATTTACAATGTTACATATGCAAAAAATGATTAGTAGATAATACGAAAATATGAATCTTTTAATGATATATATTTATATTATATATATTTGTAGCATAAGTTTATAATTTTGCATTCGTTTCTCAAGTCCTCTGATAGCCGTGATCGTCTAGTGGTTAGGACCCTACGTTGTGGCCGTAGTAACCCAGGTTCGAATCCTGGTCACGGCAATGCTACGACAACAAAATAGCATTGTCACGGCAGAGGTTTTTTTTTTTTTATTTTATTTTTTACCATTATCTTTCATCTGCATTTTTATATGGTTTGTCCTTTTTTTCAAATTTTTCTATTTTAATTTGCAATGCTATATATATATATATATTTTGTGAGGGGGTCTAGTATAAAAACTATCGCAGGTATTGTATCTGCAAAATACAGAGAAAAAAATGATTAAACGTATACCAAAATAAAAGATAGTAAAATCATTATTAACATATTTAATATTTGAATTTTTGTGAGAGGTCTAGTATAAAAACTATCACAGGTATTGTATCTACAAAATACAGATAAAAAAAATGATTAAACGTATACCAAAATTAAAATCATTATTACCATATTTAATATTTGAATTTTTTGTGAGAGGTCTAGTATAAAAACTATCACAGGTATTGTATCTACAAAATACAGATAAAAAAATGATTAAACGTTTACCAAAATTAAAATCATTATTAACATATTTAATATTTAAATTTTTATGAGGGGTCTAGTATAAAAACTATCACAGGTATTGTATCTACAAAATACAGATAAAAAGATGATTAAACGTATACCAAAATTAAAATCATTATTAACATATTTAATATTTGAATGTTCTTACCTAAATGAATTTAAATTCTTAATCAATTTTGAATATATTTTGTTAGTCTTAACTATACTTCGTATTTTATGGATAATCGTTTCATTATGTTTAAACGATAACAGATAAGAAATAATTGAAGTAAATCATTGAGCGTGTTAGTTTTTGCACGTTGAATTTCTAAAATGCACTACCGAACGAGTATTGCTTGGCGCCGGTCCATCGATTTGACTTCATTGGCCTGTAACTAACACGGTTATTATCTCGTCGGAGCACGTTTTTGATCCTATCGAAGGGAAAGTCGAGAAGCTGTTTCTCTTTCCAGTCCTGAAACATTTTTTCAAAGTTATGAACAATAAGATTTTATATAGAAAACATTTGTTATATTTATCGTTGTGATGTTTATTTCATACTTTGAAAAAACTTGTTGATCAGTACACATTATAATTCAATTAGATAATATTATTAATTATAATTCAATTATTATTATTATTAATTATATTCATTATTATATTAATTATAAAAATTATAAAATACAATAAATTAAATAAAAAATATATGAAAATAATTATATTAATAATTATATATTATTATACTAAATGAGGTATATTGTTTAATGTTGTTTATATTGTTTTATATTGTTAATATTAATATCTAATATTATATTAGGGCATAATTAGAATTAAGTATATTGTCAAAGGGAACGAACATGTAGGGGAGGCCTTCGGGGTAAACACCCTAAAAGGGTATACCTGAAAAATAAACTTCTTCTTCTTCTTCTTCTTCTTCTATAATTATAGATTATTATTAATTATAATTTTAGATATTTTAATTATATTATATTATTAATATATTATTATTAATTATAATCAATTCGGTAATAAATATTGAAATATTTGATGTTAATACCAAATTGCATTAATTTGAATTCAAACAGGAAAGATTGGGATTATGTTGTTGAGAAATATGTAAGAAGTTTGATCAGAGTGTACGGGGGGGTGTAGACGCGTGATTCGAGGGTGGATTTATTATCTCGCGTGCCTTTTAAAACCGGTGTGTTGCTTGTTAAGCCGTCTTTCTTAATCATGCAAGCGGAAAACAACAAGTGTGCAACCTGCACGTATATAGCTTTTATCACCGACTATAAATTTTGGTAATCCTGTGGGTTGTTCGTGTACTCTTGCATAGGGAACGACAAAAAAGAAAAAAAAAAGAAAAAAAAATAAGAAAAGCATTCTAATTGGTAATAATTTACGTATTCGACGCCACTGTCGACGACGTTGCAAAATTTGTGAGCCATTTTTCAATCGAAAACCGATAAAGCGATATCTATATAAGAAACAAACAAAAATGAGATAAGAAATCATTTCTAACTTCGACATAAGTATACATAAATCAATTTTAGTAATAACCGAGTATGTAAATATCAACAAATATAAAAATAATAATGTATAATTATAAAATATCAATTTCATTATAAATTATAAGATTATACGATTAAAATCAATTTCAATTTGAAAGAATCCTTTTGATTTTTTGTCGATTAGAAATGATGATAAGATCGATAAAAATCCTAAAGAATTTTAATCTTTTTACACACACACACAGGTACATCATAGACATATTTAGATATACAGATCTTCTTATAATTAAAAACAGTATTAGTCTTAAACATTAATGAGACCTTTCCCTCTCCCCGCCGTTTTACAATCGATGTTCTACGATTCCAATTAAGAGAATGTCTTAACTGATTAAAGGGGCAGTTAAAAATAATTTGTCTCATAAATAGGATGGTGCTGGTTGTTGTAAACCGATGAACGTATGTATGTATGTAACTTTTCCGGATGTGTATCGTCGTACGTGCGATAAATTATTCCGAGTAAGATGCTTTTTATGGGTATGCCAACCATACGGGATACTTAACTTGCCGTTAATCACCGGTTAATCGATCACGACGAATGATTCAATGTAATCTACGTGAATACTATAGATATACTTGTCTTAACGTAATATTCTTATTACGTTTCTACGCATCGTCGTCTTTATATGTGTTAGAAATGATTCCCAGTTAAATTCAGACATTTATCTTCTAAGGAATAATGTTTCGAAATATTTTATCTTATCTAGCGTGAAGAGATGTAACTCCTCGGTTCATTCATACCATAATGTTCAAACAAATCGTCGAAATGATCTTACATGACATGAACGTATTCACGAACGTCTCTCTCTCAGTCTCGTATTTCTTCTCAGTTATATATTTCTCTCTTACTATCTTTTACTATCTCTCTCTCTCTCTCTCTATCTATCTCTCTCTCTCTTTCTCTCTGCCTTTCTCATTTTCATTTTCATACACACAATGATTTCATTTCCCAACGAGATGTTTCCTCCGTTAAATAGCCTTGGCCAAAATTTCTTAAACGAGACCCTAAATAAACTAATATTTTATCTTCTTTCTATATGTTTGATCTCATAAATTTAACTATAGTTTTTTTTTGTTTTGTTATAAAGTAAAAGTACATAATACAAATATTCATTTATTATGTAATACTAATTATGCAAATTATGAAATACTCAATATGAATTATGATCAATTTGAATGATATTATTTAATTTGACGCGTTTATTTTCTTTTCTATTGTAATCAAATATTAAAAAGAAATAAAAGAATGATTTTCCAGGGAAAAATGGAAAGTGAAAAGTTTCGATTGAGGATTAAGTTAAGAAAGGATAATAAGCGTTATCCTTCTATTTCCCCCCTTTCTTTTTCTTCTTCTTCTTCTTTTTTTTTTCTTCTTTATTCGCTCGTTATATGGTCTAGGAGTTAAACGTCACGCACCACCCGCCGGAGAATCTGGAAGAACCGGATGCGTGCACGGCGATGGTGCGTAAAAGATTCATTTCTTCCTTCGAGCGGCACTCCTTCGTTCCTGCCTAGCAAAGTCCTGAAAGAAAAATACAAAAACAGAGAAAGAGAGAGAAAGAGGGAGAGAGAGAGTCCTCGTGATTATCTTCTTCTTCCTTTTTTTCTTTTTTTGCCTTTCTCCCACGGGATTCTCTTCGGTATCCTTCGGATTCTTACCGCCAAATCAAGGGACAAAGATTTCTTTCGAGACTTCAAAGTGTCTGCCTGCCTTTGGATTTCAATCACTGATGTCTATCGACACGTTTTTTCCCCTCAATTACGTTGAAAGTTAATTTACTTAACTTTAAGGACTTCTATCAAGTTTTAATCGTGACTGGATTTTTCAAACTTTCTCTATGTTTTTCTTCATTCATTTAATACAAGGCGTTTCAAAATGATTCTACGATATATTTTATTAATGTGTATTTTTTGTTTTGTTTGATTTTCTTTAAATTAAACATTATTTTTTTAAATGTTTATATTGAAATGTGAATTCAATAATTATTATTGATTTATCAGGGAACAAATTGATGACCAACTAGTAACTTGAAAACATTTTTAATAATTCGTGTTTCAATCCACATTTGTCTTATTATTTTAATCGCAATAATACACCTGTGAAATTTCGTAGAAACTATCTGGAACACCCTGTATAATTGCAGTGAAATTTTTTTTAATTGCATAGCAAGTGATTTTTCAAGGCCATGACGATAATGGGAACGTTGAGGAAAAAAAATTGTAGCCATTTGAGGAAGGGGTAAAGAGAGAGAAAACATGGTTCATGCATATATGTATGTACTTAGAAGGCCACATTGGCAATCCCCATAAGTGGAAGGGTAGAAGATGAAGTGAGATGGAAAAAGTGAGCTTTTTTTTTTCCTCAAGAAGCAAGGTGTTGGCTCACGGATAATTAATTATAAAACTCGATGAAAATATTCCATAGATTATTAGTAGAGAGTAATTTTTTTGAAATAATAAATAAAAACACGAATGGATCTCGCGAATTGCATTTATTTTATCCCATCCCCCTTTTCAACTGGAACGACGACCAGTTGATGGTCAACGATGCATCAAAAAATCGCGCATAATTTTATTTGTCAGTCGTATTTTTTTGTTTTTGTTTTTTTTTTTTTCTTTTAACTTGCACAAAGAAAAGAAATTCATGTATGCTTAGCAGAACGTTCAACCCTCTTCTTGTTAGTCCAATCGATCGATCGATCATATCAAAGTTACGACACTATTATATCGCACAACTAAGTGCCATTGATAAAGAAACAACTTCTTGGCTAGATATTCAAGATCAAAGATGAGGATTAGAATGAGAGAGAATCTTTTTAAGAATAAGACGAAGGAGAAAAAAGGTAGGATAAATAAAAATCAAATCTAGAGAACCCGTTCTTCGAAGGATTTCAATAAAAAAAAAAGAAAAAAAATGAACAAATAAAAAGATTGTGAACGCGAGGACATGGAGAAACATCTATCGAGTTGCTTGAAAACAAATAAAGAATGTTCATTTGTAGCAAATGGATTCCTTACAGAGCTACCTGTCTTCTTAGAAAACCATCAGAAGTTACGAATTTTCTTGCTTCTCATTTGATGGTACACAAGGATCGAATTGTCTTGTTCGATCATCATCATCATCATTATCATTATCATCATCATCATCATCATCATCGTAGATCAAGTTACTCTCTCGTTAAAGAGAAGTTCCAATTAATCGTCTATCGTTCATTCGTTCATTCTCAACTTCTTGATAAAAATCATCAATCGTGGTAGACTCGATGCTTTGTTCGTTTGCAAGGTTATTGATGTCCTCCGGTAGAAGACGTACGACGAAGTTATTTCTCCAATAGCGACGCCAACGGCGAATGTGTAATCTGAAAAGGGAAAGATTAACAACGGAAAGAAAGAAAGAAAGAAAGATAGATAGATAGAAGGAATGAAGAATAGGAATAGGAATAAAGAAAAACCTTAGCAAGGTATAGCGAATGAACGCGATTTATCTTATATTTATGATGATTAACTTCTGCGTTAGTGTATATGTAACCATATAATTAAGTGTATATGTTAGTGTATGTAAATGTAAAAATATACAGGGTGTCCCCTATAACTAGTAATACAAACAAGCAAAGGAAAAAATACACAACCCTATGAAAAATAAGTCTAATCTTAAGAATAGAACCTAGAAGAATAGAATACCAATACTGGCAATGTTGCAAACTTGAATAAAGTGCATTAGGAACAAAATTGTATTTATACATTTTCGACCTCCTTACAAATGTTTGTATCATTATTTACAAGATACCACCCTGTATAAATGTAAAGCAAATGCATAAATGTATAAGTGTATGGGTAAGTAAGATGGTAAACTAGCTATTACCTTCCTAAAGTCATTAACCAAGCCCAATAAGCAACGAGCGTGAGAGAACAGGTCGGTAACATGACGACGATTACCCATGGCACCTGATAAAAGCCACTCTCTATTAATAATTTCAACGCTATAACGCAAACGTAGCAAGCGAACAGAGCCAATGGAGTCGTCACGACCAGATAAAGAACGTCCAAGAACATCTAAAAAAAAAGAAACAAATTAATGTGCAAAATAAAATGATAACTGGCCCAAACGTATTATATTACGTTAGATACGTGTTTACATACACATTGGTGGGTGTTTATGATAAATGTAATCGATGACATCTCATTTGTAATAATTAGTCTTATATTAGTTTAAATACCTGACGCGTAACTACTACCGTCTTGAACCATATTAACAGGCTACGTAAAATACTGTGACGTGGTATTCTCTTGGTTGTATATTTGTACCCGCACAACTCGCATCTCGTATGACCAGATTCCGTTAACCATCTCTCGAGACAATCCGCATGAACCAGGCCTACGGTTCCTCGACATCTGTCATGATATTTTTGAACTTTCTTTTTTGTTTACTTTTAATCTATTTCTAGTTCTCCTTCTAAAATTAATCTATCCTAAAAGTAAAGACTCTGAAGCGCGATAATCCAATTGATTGTTTCGAATTTGTCTTACGTTTATTACGAGCAACGACTTAATCCTCTGGACCCGCATACTCATTTTTTTTATTAAGTCCAATAAAAAGCACGAAAAGTTGTTAAAAATATAAACAGTATCCTTTTATTAAAATGACGTGATACTTTCTCGTATATTCCCTTAGATTCTCGTGCAACCCTTTTCTACTTTATATAAATAGATTGCCCGGATAAGGGTTAAAAAAAAAAAAGAAACGGAAAAAAAATGTGTCTCAAAGAGAACTCGAAATGACAGATCGTTTGACGTTTCACTTTAAGTTGGGGGAAGAGTTTAATGCCAAAATAAGAGGAAATAAAAGTAGAAGAAGAAGAAGAAGAAGGAAAGGCAGGAGGAATCTTACTTGCATGCAGAGATAAGAGGACCCAAATAGGAATAGGAGGAGAACGCGGATATCCGAATTTGCTTCTCCTCGGGTTGACTTCTTGATTGATTCTTATTGGAGGACAGCAAAGTACCACCCATGTGGCAAATTCTACAGATGTCTTCTGACAAGGAGTAACAATCTGAAATACGAAAGGAATATTTTCTTTACATTTGGAAAAAGAATAATAGTTATAATAACAAATAAATGAATGCACCATCATTTTGTTCTTTTCTTCGTTCAATTGGTAAAATCAAAATACAATTTTCAATGATATCTTTAATCCAAATTTCTTCAGATGATCGTCGTTCAACTTTTATCGATTCTAATTCAGATATCTCCGACTCATTCTCTTCTATACGCAACGCTACGAAATGTTTGCAAATCTTTAATATTTAAAATATACTTCATTGTAATTAATAATAAATTCAGTAACCTATTTCTTCCTTGGAAGAATCCGTGAACATTTGTTGTCGTTCTTTTTGTCGTAGTTGTTCATCGTAATCGATTGACATGTATATTATCGTTTTCAATATTGTTTCCACATTTTTCACGTTACTCCATCAATAGTCACGCTTATACTTTGAATTTTTCTAGTTTTTATTCCGGAGATCTTTGAATCGTATCTATTGACGTGTGTCTGAAAATTATGAACAAACTTTTGACGATCGGATACAAATCGACATATTCAAATCGCATACAGGACAATTCTATTATTAGCTATAGTTAATTCACAAAGTTAGAACAATGAAATTATTCATCTTATTCATGAGTGAAACGTTCTCCATTGAGAGATATTTCCGTTGATAAAATAAAATCTTAAACGTTTGCTCTGATTGAAAAAGGAAACAACTAAAGTCGAAAACTCATGAGGATGATGGGCTCACCGTAGTAAGTACTTGGCACCAGATTACTTACATCCCGTGGGTGTCGTAGTTTTCGTCGTTATATTTTGCACGTTACACGTTGAGAAACGTTCCCTTTAATACTTCCGCACTCTCATTTGGAATAAGTATTTCGGAATCGGTTTCCGGTCTCGTGAATTAAATTCGTGCGAGGACATAGATCATCTATTATTAGAAGATGTTAATCTCATCTTCGTCGTCATCATCATCAAGCATCATCATCATCATCATCATCATCATCATCATTAACATAATCATAATCATCATTATCTTTATAATGTGTAAGAAAAGACAATTATCCAGCAAGTATATATTATTTTTTCTATCGTTCCGCTTCGTAAAGAGGAAGAAACATATCTTAAATTCAAACATAAAACTAATCCAACATTTCGCTAATAGAACACCTGCAGTCTAGCGTAAATAATTAATGACAATATCCGCTAGGAAATAGATTAAATCTTGGAAATAAAAGAAGAACAAATTGAGTAAATCAAAAATGTATGGTGAATCCTAGCTTCGCTAATTTTATATTGAAATAATAATAAGGTATCGTTAATTACATTTAACCTCGTTATAATAACTGCAATAAATATGATACTTTCACCTTCGTACCTAAATAAGAATCTCTTAATTTAACTTTAGTACGTGCGGGGTTAGCACCCTATGTACAATAAACACATTCCCTCTCTTTCTCTTGCTTTTAGATTAATCTTTTTTTACGTTACTCGGTAAAGCGCGTGTCGCGTTGTCGCGAAGGGAAAACGACGACGTCGTCACGGCTGCTATTTCTGCCAGGTGGCCTGAACGCATTTTAAACCAGAGTTCTCACACCAGCCAGCCAGCCAGCCAACCAGCCAGCCAGTCAGCTAGCTTAGCATAGCATGGCATGGCATAGCATGGCACGACACGACTCGCCATTTTCCGCTGGACGTTTTTGGTTCAAGATTAATGAAATGCGTCTGGAAATAGTTTTGGTGGATTGGTGGCGTGAGCCACTCCGAGACGGTGACTGCTTGCTTTCTTGCTTGCTTGCTAGGTAGCGTGTTGCAACGCGCTGATGTTAATCTCACATCTCCTTCTTTCTTTTGGACCTCGTGTATATACATACGCGTAAATGTAGTTACAGAAGCAACGAGACAAAACGACTATCTCGGTCTCGTGTACCCGAAGACACTGACCGCACCTACTCTCATCTTTCGCCGTTGTTAAAACCCTTTCGACAACTCGTAACATCTGCATTCGATTTGTGTCCCATCCTCCCAAGTTCTAACAACAACCAACTAAGATAATTCTTGACAACTCGGTGAAGGAAACCGAGGCTGGGGCTTCTCCTTCTTCTTCTCCCGAGTAAGACGAGCAATATCGTCGAGACGACTAGCCGCTGGGTCACGTTCAACCTGAATGGACCTGGACGCCCATTCATAATCGATATGCCTACTTATCCGACTGATACTACTACTTGGCTCCTGTATTAATCTTCTTTACTTTCAATGGTCTAATATAAGAAGTCATAAAATTAGAGCTCATAATCTAATTTGCGATAGTGGCAAAGAATTATTATCATGATTATTATTCATTTCTTTTTACAGTTGATTTTTTGTATAAATTCAAACTTACTTAACTTAATAAAATATATACCAAAGTTTATTAAAATCCGTTCGCGCACAACCGTAATGTCTCTTGTAAGTTGATAGAAAAAGAGAGAAAGCGGACGTGGATGAACAGGAAGTGCTCCTTCGCCATTTGCCTCGCCTCGCCTCGCCTCGCCTCGCCTCGCCACGAATCGCGAAGGGCTTTAGTAGATCCCTTTAAGCATTAGTGGCAGCGTTCGATAGACGTGATCGAAGTATTTAATCAGGTAATGATCAACCTCGTAGAATATTGATCCGATCGACGATGCAACGCCAACGGTCAGGTTAAAGGTACAATGAATCTTCTCATAGACTACTACAAGTGTGTCAAATTTTTAAAAAATCGTAGAGGGATGCTCGCACCGTCTCCTTGTTATTTATCATAAATTGAGAAAAAAAAATGGCAAATACATTATATTAGAAAATTCTATTCTTGTATAAAATCTTTTACCAAGTTTTGTAAAATTTATGTATTTGTATTTGTATGAATTATTATCTTCTTTGTAAGGATTCCATGTGAATTATTATGCAAATGGAATGCAGCTGCTGCGTCAAGAAATAATCTAGATAAATAATATAATATATAAATATAATAAACAATAAGAATTGTAAAAAGTATAAGTAATTGTAAAAATGTAATAAACTAATATTTGTAAAAAAACAAATATTATATTACTCTTAAGAAATATTTCTTCATAACATTAATACAATGATTTTGTCAACAAAAAGATTTTAAATCGTTTGACTGAAAAAGACTATGCATTATTTTTGACAACGATAAGAAGAATAAAACAATGAAAGATTTTTAAAGACACTGCCCTTATTATACTTACACTGAGAAAAAACCATATGCAGTAGTATGTATCAATAGAAATGTAGCAGTAATGCATCCTTCTTATCACGAGTTGAGTAAACAAATGGCGAACACATTATATTGGAAAATTACCATTAGATGGCGATAAATGTCTTACCAGTCGGAAAGATGAAGTTAGTAGTGAATGATAACTAGTACCGCTAGATAGCGGTACATATTTTAATAGTCGATAAAATAAAATAATAATTATTGCCGCTAGATAGCAGCACATATTCGGTAACATTTAAAAACTCCCGCTATTCGCGCATCTATATACTGAACCAATTATAACTCGACTTTGAGTCGACCAATCATCGAGCAATTCCCCCTACTAGCAACTGCATTTCTCCGTCAGATGGTGCGAGACTACGGACAGCGACAGTAGCGCACTCGTGTCGGGAACGAATATAAACGTAAAAAAAAGAATAGTAAAAAAAAATATTCTTTCGCACTTTTTCGTATGAATCTGATTGCGTCGAGTGTATAGTAAAACATTGTACATTATAAATGTACTGGAAGATCGCGTACGCGACTTAAGACATATCTCGATGTACTTCCGATTTGATAAAAGAAAATTGTGTGGTGTAGTTTTATGTGTTATTGTGCCGTCGTTAAAGCGACTAAATCGTTTTGATAAATGAGCCTGCAAGGTAGCCTTTTTGCCGAAGATGTGGAGTACGACGTGACTCTCTTTTTGAAAGACAACAGAAAAAAAAGGTAAGCTATAGTGATTCATAATACTCTGTTAATGCAGAATTGTTTAATACGCCGAGGTAATTATATTAATTATTTGAACGATGGAAAGAATTTTATTATATCCACGTTCATTCTTGCACGCGCGCGTCCTTCCATCTAACGTAATGGTCATGCAATCGGACTACTTTTATGGCGAACGAACTTTCTGTACATCATGCATACATACATATATATGCATGCATGCATATATATATATATATTGGATTATCCGGAAAGATCGTTTATATTTATAAATATATATCCAATTAATTATTAGAACTTTTTAAGACCCCAATTCGATTAATATTATTATCATAAAGTTCTCTTAAACAACAATGTATTACATATTGAAAATATTCAACCTAAATGCACAACATACATGTATTTAAATATATATATATATATATATATATGTGTGTGTGTGTGTGTGTGTGTATGTGTATGTGTATGTGTATGTGTAATATAATACACTATACAAAAGATTCTTACACAATTTTTAATACTTTTCGACCAACGATTGCATTTAATACTTTACTAAACTTCAAAAATAGCTTACAATTACATTCATAAAAGATTTGGCCATGATAAATGCAAGGAGTTTTTTTTTTATGGAGAAGTTTCTTTTTACAGTACTTCCACCCCACACTCCCACCCATCCTTCCAAGCCCTCTTCTCTGACGATCAGTCTATTGACTCCACTTTCCTAGGCCAAGTATAGCTTTTATATAAATATCTTTAGGTTCTTCTTCGAGAAACGATAGCTTTGTTTCTTCTTAACTTCTGTTAGAATTTTCTTAATATTTATTTTTCTTGATCAATCAAAAACATTGAATTTAAATGCACATATTATAATTTATATACAAAGTTATCATCAATAATTGTGCTGATAATTATGAATTTGGATTAAGTCCAAGAATGGGAAACAAGTGATTTTACTATAGGTTATGTTATAACATTATATTATAACTTTATAAAGTCAATGATAAAATAAGCTTTTAATTAATTCTTTTACATACTAATGATGTAATGATTATTTATATTATAAAAAAATACATTTGTTTCTATTGTTTCACATATATTTTCAAAATTATTAGCACAAATAATCAGACAGTGATATGATAATTAAATGTGCCTATATATAATAAAAGAAAGTCCATACCTTTCTCACATATTACTTGTATATTCTACTACATAACCACTTTCTCGTTAATCTCTCGTGGAAATAAGAAAAGATGAAGAAAAAAAAAAGAAAAAAAAAACATGTTTACATTCTCATGCATCGTGAATGTAAGCGCAATCGAATTTTATATCGATCGTGATTCATGGCGCTGTTTTTTTTCGAAATACGATGTCTCAATAGGAACCAAAAATATTTACGGCCTTGTGTCATCATATCTGATGTTAGATAATAATAGCTTACGTAGGAAAGTGAGCGGGGTATGGCGTAATCTTTAAAATCAACTTCAAAAAATGATAAGAAATACAATAACAATAAATATATAACAAATGTTAGGATGCAAATAATTTGCACGTCATGCGCATGCGCGAATTATTTTCTCGATAAAGAAAAACATGTGTGCATATTTTAGCGCGAAAATATGCTATTTTAAAATTCAAACAATTTAAAATTAATGAATGTAATATAACTTTGAACGATTGATAACTTAATTTTATTATTTCAATTTATTATAACGCAGTTTATCATTTTATTTTTATATTGCAATCTAATCTTATACGTATTTAAAAAATTAGTAAATTCAATTTCATATTTAATCATCAGCGTAGTAAATCTTGCGCGCAACGAAATAACATTTTCTATTTCACTTTATTGTTTAACCTATCACTTATGGGGACTTGCAGTCAGTATGATATTACTCTATGCATACATTTGATACATCCTGCATAAATCATTTAAGAGAAAGAAAAAGATAAAAGGGGAAGGAGAAAGTGTGCAGAATACATATTACAATAGTGGACGACAAACTATGGCTCCCAACACAATATTAGATTTCAATAATCATTTTTATAAAATTGTTATATTAATAATTTATAAATTCGGTACAGGATTACTATGTAAATTAAAAAAAAAAAAAAAATAAAATCTGAAACTCTTATCAAAGAAGTTGCTCACCTCTGACATATTACGTAAAAGCCATGAGTTAACCTCTCCTACTCTCCTCGAGGGACCTCTCGAGTATTCTACCTTATATAGCTGCGCATGGTTACTCAGTGTTCAGCATCAACGGAACACTAACATCATTATATATATATATATATATATATATATATCAGTAATCAATTGGAAGTCGACGTTGGAATTATATACCCAAGTTTATTTTTAATTATTTTGATCTATCAGCTTTCGCTTTGTCTTCTCTTGGATCAGTACGACGATCCCTTTCGCTTTTGCAGGGTCCTCGTGTTTCCTCCTGTAAACAGCTATCAACGATATCTCATACATCAACTAGTGCAGGATCGTTTTGCCGATTTCCTGCGCACCTTCTCCATTGGCCAAGGGCTCGACAGACGTACCGTCGTCTGCTACAAGACCGACGTCATCAGGTAGACAGAAGTCCGTTATTCTTTTCTCGGAATTATCTAACTTAATCTTTTTGTATACAGGTTGTTTCATAAACGTCAGTACTTCAAAAAGGATGATGTATCTGCACACTAAAACAAATCAAAACTATTGTATGAACATATGCCCAATGTATCTCAGCTTTCTAATCCATGGATCATTCAAGATTTCAAAGTACACGCTTCTTATCTCGGTGCAAGCTGATGTACACCTTACGTAACACGTCTTGACCTTAATTAATATTTGTAAAGTGTCAATTGACACGAAACACAACGAATTTTGTCTCACGAAGTTTTACAAGCATTCAGTAATTCAACAAAATGTTTCTGTAAACACGCGGAAATGACCAGCCATGCATTTCACGTAGCACGTAAATTATACTGAAGAAAACTTCCAGGAAAACGTGAAATTTCAGATTGTCGAATATTTTCATACATTCTTAAAAATGGTTAGATCAAAAAACAAATACTTGGAACATTTTCTTTGATCATCCATTACTCGAAAACTGATGTATATCCGTCGTCTGTTCGTATGGTATTTTTTTATTTGGTTTATTGTGCAGATTTATCCTTTCAAATGTTGTTAATGTATATTTAAAAAAAAACACATTGTATATACACATACATACTCTCTTTGTATTCTATTGGGTATATATTTTGATATCTATTTCTTTGTAATGTCAGACGTGATACGATCATTGACTGCGACACACATTTACACATTACACGGTCTCTTTTCACTTTCGTTGCGAGCTTAACCGATTGACGTTACGTATTTTCTAACAGAACAAAAAGAAACCTTTCCATGTGTGGGTTCTCATCATCATCGATTAAGATTTCAAATATTTCTCTGTTTATATATTCCATGTATGTTATTACAAGTTTTTCACTTGTTATTAATTCTTTGGCACAAATGGTTGTGTTCAACATTTTAGTCACATTGGAGCTATATTTAAAAACCTCTAATACTGTTGTCTCCTAAATCAATTCTAACAATAGAAATCAAACATTCCTCATTATTTTTCTTTGTCGACATTTTATTAAGAAACTTTTCCATTAGAAATGGTACAAGTAATAAATTTATATTTTAAAAAAAAAAAAAAATATCGATGAAGTTAAAATCTTATTTTCAAAATACGACATTGAACAATTTCTTCCTGTCGTCTGGTGTGGGCCTTGAAATAGAATGAAATATTTCAAATGATATAAAAGTATTGATTGATACAACCGGTATAATATAATGCAATATAATAAAACCAGTCAACATTTATTTGAATGATAATGTTGTTTTCGTCTATTCGCTAAATTCTTTCAGCAATATAAAAACAGGAAAAAAATAAACTCGTTTTATTATAGTATAGCGAAGAATTTTAAAGATAGACGGTCAGTTTTCAGAAACTTTGAATGTTTAAAAAAAAGTAGTCTCAATATATCAGACTTTCTCAAGACGATTACGAAAGACTAAAACGTACGTGAAATCCCAGCAATGGAGGCACGTCAAACGAAAGTGAAACTGACCGGCTCTCCTCACTCAAGGTCGTAAATACATTCTCGCGTACATATAAAGTGTGTAGAAATATATATATATATATACACACATATACGTACTCTTTTTATACCATCTAAGTGCGTATGCGTCGTTCTTCCAGTTTCATTTCTCTTCTTTTCATTTCTTATAAAATTAATTCAAACTTATAATTAAAATCGTTGTTCAGTTTGTTCTTTTATTTTCAAATTATTTTAAAATGTATCTCTTTGTGTTTTTATAAAGGGAGCCAGGATCGAATGGTGGGGAACAAAAGGAAAGTCCTTCTAAAACGGTGTCCTGTGAAATGGGTGTCTTAGAACGACGACAATCATCGTCGAAATCACCAGAACGTATTCGCACACAGCAACAGCAACAAAGGCATGCTGATCCACGAATCGTTTCAAATGGTAATCATTTTAAAATCCTTAAGGTGGTTCTTTTGATATTTCTATATTGTGTATATTTTTTTTTTTTCTAATTGCTTTTACTTATCCTAACTCGGTTACAGTTTACAGTGTATATATATGGTATATGTATACCTTTCTCTTGTTACAGCAAAGTCCATTGCACCTGCGGTAGAAATCTACGTACCACCTCCAGCAAGAAGGGCAAGAAATAACAAGCTTCGTTCGCAACATCGAGAAACATCGACTCATGTTAAAACAGAGGATAGTAATAGTAACGATAACGACCTTACGGTACTCCCTTCCACATCTTCTTTTTCTAACGCGAGGTAAACGTTTTTCTTACAACTTGTTTTTTAACAGTTATCTCTTATTACAGGTTTTATGTACAATTGTTTTACTAGTATTTTATTTTATTTACATTGTTGAACAATCTTGGTCAATAGTCTGTTTAAACCTTTTAATACAGTAACATATTAATATTCAATATATTTCAAAACATAATTCTAATCATTAATCTATTGTTTAAGAAATAGTCGTCAAAGAAGACCAGATCGTGCGGTTTATGTACCAAGGCATAGAAGAAGTGGTGCAGATATAGAAGTTAATAATACACGTCGTTCACACGAAGACAACGTTATCTTACAAGATCCTGTAAGATTAACAACCACAACAGCAGTAATAGCATCGAACAACGCCATTAACGAAGAACAAGATATTATATCATTATCGTCGTCGTCGTCGTCGTCGTCATCATCATCATCATCATCATCATCATCATCGTCGTCGTCGTCGTCATCGTCGTCATCGTCATCATTATCATCATCATCATCAAAATTAAACAGGGAATCCGAATGTCCAACATCATTAAATACCAACAAGTATAATAATTCAAGTTTGAACAGGGATCATTCACCTGTTAGCACTCTGAAATCATCAAGCGTAAAAGTAGAAAATACTGAAGAACAAGTAAAACCAGTGAAACTCGACGAGCAGCAGTCAACGATCTCGAAAATAACAGACGATCATCATCATCATCATCATCCTACGCACAAGGAAGAAGAAGTAGAATCAGTGAAAGGTGAACGATTGCAAAGTGATACGTTAGTTTCTTCATCTTTACAAGAAGACAAATCTGAAGTTTTATCGAACGCTCAATCCTCAGAAACTAACTGTAAAAACAATAACGAAACGACGAATCATTGTTCCGTTGAAAAACCTATTGTTGTTGTTGTTGCAAATTCGAACGACATCAAACCTAATATGTCGAGTGAGAAAAAAGATGACGAATCGAAAGATAATGCATCGTCGAATCGTCGTAATAACACTGTCAAGAAAAATAACGATAGCAATAATACCGTAAGACGAAATATGGTATCATCCGACGTTTTAATAATATCCGACGTTATTACCAATAATAAAGAACCCGTGAAAAAGGCTAAAGAAGTTCCTGTTGTTACCGTGGCACCGCCAGAAAAAAAAGCAAAAAAGGTTGAACGACCAAAAAGTAAACCAGCACCACCACCCTCACCTCCGATCAAAATTAGCAGAGACGAATGTGATTGGGATAGTTTGTTTGATGATAATGGTGATTGTTTAGATCCGTCCTTGATTGAAGAGGTAATTGTATTTTGAAAAAAGTTCAATATTTTTACAAATGTGAACTTATCTTTAATTTGATGTTATCATTTTTGTTTTAGTTAACATCGGCTGTTGGCGAAGTAATGATAGAACAACCAAAGAACGATTATAAAATTTACACTAAACAAGTAGAATCATTATCAAGCGATGAATTTGGTCACGTTGTTGAGATCTATAATTTTCCATCAGACTTCAAAACGAGTGATTTGGCGACTGTTTTTAGCCCCTTCAAAACTGGGGGCTTTGAACTTAAGTGGGTCGACGACACCCACTGTCTTGGTGTTTTTAGCAGTCCTCTTATTGGTAAGAGATCAACTTACATATTTAATAATACATTTGCCCTAATTTAATGTTATCTGTTATATAATATTGAAATGGTTTTTTATTTTTTTCTAATTAAAGCTGCTGAGGTATTGGCTTCGGAACATCCATTTGTTAAAACCAGACCTCTTAGTGAAGCTACAGCTTTAAGTAAAACAAAAGCAAGAAGAAGTGCTGAGTTCTTGCAACCGTACAGAAGTCGTCCAGAAACATGCGCTGCTTTAGCGAGAAGGTTGGTTACAGGTGCTCTAGGTGTAAAATTAGCAACAGCGAGACAGGAACGAGAACACGAAAAGAACATTTTACGTGAAGCTAAAGGTATGTACATAATATATATTACAGGATGATTCCAAATAAATTATTAATTGAAAAAACTTCTCATTATTTCATGAATTACATACTTTACAATTTGTAATTATTTATTGATATCTTTATTTCTACAAATAGAAATTAGATAGATGCCTTGTATATCTAAGATATATTTATAAATTGACAATACTTTTATTCAATGAAATAAGAAGTTAAAATAATAAAATATTGCAGAAAAAAGAAGATTGGCCAATAAACAACGAGAAGATGCTTGGGAAGGTATAATCCCTCAAAAGTAGCATTACCTATTAGTGGTCCAATGAACTGACAGAAAAATAAGATATACCTCGTATCGTATGACCTACGTTGCCTCTACGTATTTGTGCCTTACTCATCTATGTTTTAAATCGTAAACAGAGTACAGGCGTACTTTTCGAATCGAAATCATTACTACTATACTGATTTGAGGGGAATAATTATAAACAAGAAAAAGATAAAAAGAAGAAGAAAGAAACAAACAAACAAACGATTCGTTAAATAGATGAGTGCGGCATGAGAAGCATTTTTAAGGTTCTCGTGTATGGATGTGTGTGTGTATGCAAGCGTGTGTGCATATGTTCTATTTTTTCTTTTCTTCTTTTTTTTTTTGTTTTTTTTTTTGGTTAAACAATTTAACGAAAATCAAAATGGGATATGTATAAAAAAAAAAAAGGAAAAAGTAAAATTAATTTACACATTCTTACACATATCATAAGAGATAAGGAAAGATGCGGTTTTGGATACGGTGTTGTATTTCTATTTTCTGTTTCAATGTATGCTTTTATTTTTATTTCATTTTCTTTTTTTTTTTTTTTTTT